GCGGGCTTCTGTCCTGGCCTTAAAGGCCCCGGGAGACGCGGGGCTGGTGCTGCTGGGAGCCGCGGGGCCCGCTCCGGGGCGCGTGCCTCGCATTTCTCCTTGTTCCCACGCTGTCCTGCGCGCGGCCGGACACACAGGGTCGCCAGCGAGCGACAGCGAGACAGCCCTGCAGACGCCCCCTCCTGCTGTGAGGTGGGGGCACCGCCTGCCGCCGATGACCGAGCCGTGCACCCCAGCACCCTCCCTGGCCAAGCTGCTCTCGGCCCCCTGCGCCCGGGCGCTGAGCGGACAGAGCCGCAGAGACTCCTCGTGGAAGTGCTTCTGCTTGGCGTCTGTTAGCGGACAGAAGCTGTGGCACCAGCAGCAAAGCATCCTGGCAGGTGGAGCTCCCGCCCAGGCCGCCCGAGACACTCAGACCTTACCGGGGAGACTGCGCCGCGCAGGGCCAGGTCCCTCAGTGAGCGCCAGACTGCGGGTGGAGCGGTGCTTGGTGTAAGCCGGCAGCGGGAAACTCACTCCTCCGGCGCTGGGCAAAGCAGGCCTTCGGGGGTGGACAGGGAAGCGAGCGCTGCCTAGGAGTGCGGTCACCTTGCCCCCGGGAGCAAGGGGAGGCCAGGTGTGAGCGCCCACTCCCCAGACGGGGATCCCGAGGCTCCGAGGGGTGTGGCTGTGTGGATCTGGGCTTTCCAGAGGGCTGGAGGGGTTCCCTGTCAGGGGCCAGGTGGTGACACACGCCGGGCCTCCCTTCCCCACACCTGCCGTGCAGGGCAGGGGCAGCTCTGCATGCCCACCCTCACCCCGGGGTGCCTGATTTGGAAGGCCCTTAAGACTCAGGGGATGGAGCAGGGCCTGGGGGCAGCACAGGGCAAGCAAAGGGCCTGCTTCCGTGGCCAGCCCAAGTGGGTTTGACCCTGACTCCCTGTGACCGAAGACAGTCATCAGAGCGGCCGGCTTCTCTGGGCATCTGGGGCCACCTTGAAGAGTCCTTTGAGACGAGTGCTGGCCCTGCCCCACTGACAGATGAGAAAACTGAGGACAACAGAGGGAAATCGCTGCCACCATCACAGGCTGGACCAGGCCCCAGATCCATGCCTGGGAGGCCCCAAGCCCTGACTTTCTCAGCCCCTGCATCTTGCCTCAACTTAGCAGGTTTGCCTGGAGCGCATCTTTGTCTGTGTGGATGGTGCTGGGCCCGAAGCACTGTGGGATGGATGGAGAGATGGATGGATGGGCAGACGGATGGACGGACAGATGGACGGACGGCGGCAGCCACCCTCTCCATGACTACGAGGCTCTCTTGGGCTCTTTTTTCGTCTTACTTTCCTTTCAGAGTCACCAAATGCCCTACCCAGCTGACACCTGGAGACACCAGGCTCTACCAACCGGAGGACTGAACCAACCTGATTCTTACCCGCTTTTCTACCCAGAGAAGCCCATCCGTCCAGGCCTCCTCCGCCCCTCCTTCACGCAGTATTGTGTGACCCGGGCTGTTTTACAAAGGTTTCTGTCTGCCAAAGCGAGCTCCACCCGCCCGTACGTCCCTGCGGATCCAGGCGGTACCCGACCCACGCACCTGCAGCTCACACCTCCCTGCCAGGCTGTGGGTGAAGGGACCTGCAAGGAGCCATGGACAAGTGTCACCTGTGGCCCTCGGGGTGGCCGCTATGCTGGATACGGCTGCGACGCGGCCCCTCAGGAAGCCCTGGTGTCTCCGGCTTTCTCATGGAGACCCGGAGTTGGTGGTGGCCAGCTGCCCGGCCTCCCTCGGAGATGAGCTCCTCAGCACTATAAAGGGACACTTCCAGGTGCAAGTCCAGGGGTGCTGGGCTCTGTGGGGCTGAGACGCGCAAGGAGGAGAACTTCCAAAGGAGGAGGGGCGCACTCCGAGTCAGAGCGGTCACGCCCGCGCCACTTTGCGAATGTCCCGAAGCCTATTGAGGTCACAGTAAGCTGATCTCAGTTACCAAGAGAAAAAAGGCCGGGTGTGCTGGTCTACACCCGTAACCCCACACTCTGTGAGGCTAACGCAGGAGGATCGCAAGTTCGAGCCTAGCCTGGGCAGCTTGACTTAACAAGACTCTGTCTCAAGATTAAAAAATGGAAAAATGGCTGAGGATGTGGCTTAGGGTGAAGGCCCTGGGTTCAATTCCCAGCGCTGAAGAAGAGGGGTGGAGGAGACGGAAGGAGGGAAGGAGAGAGAGACAGACAGACGGACAGACAGAGAAAGGCAAAGGCCAGGAATAGAAACACACTGCAACTCTTGGGAAGCGGAGGCAGGAAGGTTGGGAATTTGGACTATGTGGTGAGATCCTGTCTCAAAAGCAGAGAGAAAACTACCCTTGCTCTTACTCTTCTTTCCGGGCTAAAAATTTACAGCAGGAACGCAAGGGGGCGCTCCAAAACCCACTACCTCCCCTGGCTTACAAGAGCGCCCCCCAGTGGTGGGTCACGGGGAAATCAAGCGCCCACGCTCTCCTCTGGCCCGGGTGCTGGCAGCCGCTGGCATAGGAAGTCCAGAGGTCCCTGCGGCCCCTGCGGCCCCTGCGGCCCCTGCGCCCCCTGGGACAGGGCTAGGGTGTCTGAGGGTCCCGCAGAGGGCCCTAGCCTCAGAGAACTGCGGGTGGGGTGTGGGGCGGGCTGGGTGTTGGGGTGCCAGCTCCCGGTTTTCAGGCCTCACCCCTGAATAGGGAAGCCCGAACTGAGGGGTTGGGGAAGCAATCACCACCAGGATAAAAATAGCAAACAAATCCGAGACGGCCCAATCTGTACAAAGGGGAGATTTCTTCTCAGCGCTGCTCGCCGCTCTGCTGACGGGGCAGTTCAGCTCCCTGCGGCCTCAGTTCTGCGGATTCCCCAGCCGCCAGCCCGGCTCTTTAGCTGGAGCATCAGAGCCGTTTCCTAACTTGGGACAGGTGGCCAGCTCCTGCTCGGGAGCTTTCCTCCATCCCTCAGTCACTATCGAGAGGGATAATTACCCTGGGATAATTACCGAATTCATGCACGCATGTAGCTTAGCCACTGTTTGTGGGGTCCCTGTAAGTGGGGTGTGCTGCTGTATCCCCGACTGTGTCACTTTCAGTCTCCCTGCAGTTCCCCGGCATGAAACTCACTGGGCAGATGATAAACTGAGTCACAGAGACGCGCCAGTCTCATGACCTGTCTGAAAGGTCGTACAAGTGAGGCGTGGTAATCCCAGCACTCAGGAAGCTGAGGCAGGAGCGTGAGTGTCTGAGGCCAGCCTGGGCTACAAACAGAGTTCAAAGCCAGCCTGAACTGCATAGTGAGACCCTCCTTCTCTCAAAACAAATGAATAAATCATCGTACAGACCTGGAATTCTGGACCCATGAGGCAGGGCAGTTTCGCACTCCATAGTGCCCCACACGATATACTGGGTGCCGTCTGACAGAAGCCAGGGCCAACAGGGGGAAGCCCCTCTGGTATTATTGAGATGCATGAAAATTCCCTCCTGGGCCTTCAGCCCAGAGAAGTGAGAGTTCCTCAGGTCCATTTGCTGCAGGGATACATTCTTTTATTTTTTTATGAGGGGAGGTTGAGACAGGGTCTCGCTATGTAGCCCAGGCTGGCCTCAAACTTGAGGCCATCCTCCTGCCTCAGCCTCCTTAGTAGTGGGATTACAGGCAGGCACCACTGTGCCCAGCTCTTGCCTGGAAACTTTCACAGATATAGGTAACTGGTATCTCCCGCATCTCCAGCTAAGAATGGGGACAGGGCCAGTTTCCTTGTGACATCCAGACCGATGAGAAACTCGGCTCTGGTCCTAAGGATTGTGGGAAGGATGTTTTCCCCATCCAAAGATCCCCCCCCCACAAAGAGCACTGGCTTCTAGCCCACCCCAAGGCTCATGGTCACTGTCTCAGGGGCAGCCACTCGCCACAGGTGTTGCCAGAATTGAGTCATGAAATAAAGTTTACAACTCAGTCCTTCCCATCGGCCCTGTGGTTAGCAGTTGCTTCTTGGATTGTGCTTTGATTGTAGCGCAAGTCACGCATGCAAGTCACGAACGCAAGTCTCCCAAGTCCTCAGAAAGCTCCCAGAACTAGCCCTCCTTCTGCCTTGGCTCCTGTCTTACTCCGCGGCCCCTGCTTGTCCCCGGGGCCCAGCGGCTTGTACTGCAGGACCTTTGCACTTCTGCCCCCAGCACTCGTCTCCCAGACGCCCCAGGGTTGGCTTCCTCCTTCCTCCTGGCCTCTCAGCAACCACCACGGGACCCAGGGGACCCAGCAGACCCAGGCCACTCGGTCTTCTGTGCTCTCTTTCCTGCCGGACACCTGCGCGTTTCTGCACCCCCCACGGCCTCTAGAACCGGAACTTTTTTCTGATTACTTCCGAATCTCAGCGTCTGGCCCAGTTGGTGCCCGCACGCGGCACAGGGACCTCGGCTGAGTTGGACCAGCGGCGTTGGCTGCCCGAGCTCCCGCCTTGGTCCCCCTGGTCCTCCCCTTGCCCCACGGCGCCTCCTCCTCCTCCCTCCTCCCAGTGGCGACAGGTGTCCGTCCGTCTGTCTGTCTGTGGTGTGGATTTAGGCTGCATGCAATGGTTCTGGTACCTCTGGGCCCATGGTTCTTTGCAAGAAAAACGGCTTTCTGCTCTTCAGGGTGGACACGCGGGGCACGCGGGATCTGTTGTGTTTGGAGGTCCACTCCTGTCGCCGGAGGCCTAGTGTCCTCCTGCGTGCCCTTCTGGAGCCATGGGCCCCCGACCGTCCAGGGTGCAGGGCGGGGCCGCCTTTGCTGTCACGTCATCGCTGCAGTGGAAGTGGGGGGGTTCCTGTGATCCCAGCACTCTGGGAGGCTGAGGCAGGAGGATCACTGGGAGTTAGAGGACAGGCTGGGCTACATAGTGAGACCCTGTTTCAAAACCAAATAAATAAGTAAAGGAAGGAAGGAAGGAAGGGGAGCCCTGTGGCAGGAGGAAATCTGAGTGCTCTACAGAAGGGAGAACGGTGCAGACACGCTACAGGTGCAGGAGTCGGGCTAAACGGAGCCCGAGGACAAGAGCCCAGCACAGGCCACCGATAACACCAGTGTCGAGGGCAGCGAAGGCCGAGAAAGTGCCAGAAAGGGGGCCCCCACCCCACAGTCTGCCAACACTCCCCACCCAAGGACGTTGGGGCTACCCTCAGGAAGGCTGCAGGTCACCGCCCAGCAGGCCCCTCTCCTCTACCCAGCCACGGTGGGCAGCCCCGGTCCTGCCTGGGAGAACCGTGTGTGTGCGTGTATACAGCATTGCCTAGCTGCAGTCATCGCCCCTTTGCTTGGAGTGAGCTTTGGGCTTAGCCTCACAAGTGTCTTTCTGTAAATACTCTCGAGGCCCTTAGAAAAGCCTACATGGAGCCTGGCGTGGAGGCTGAGGCGGGAGGATCACCCTGAGTTCAAGGCCAGCCTGAACTACATAGCGAGACCCTGTTTCAAAAAAAAAAGTCGATGTTGAAAGCATCCAGGGTGCGGGCAGGGTGGGCTAAAGGGTCACTCATGGGGCTCCCTGCCTGGAGCTGGTCCCCACCGGCCTTGAAGGGTGCTTTGAGAGGCAGCCACTTTGGGTCTCCAGGGACTTCAGGAGCAAGCAGTTCTGAAGACAAAACCAGTTCCAAAGCTGGTGCACATCAGGGCGGGGTTGGGGGACCCCAGCAGGTGGCACCTCAAAGTTCTCTCGATGGCCCTTCCCTGGGAGCGTGGCTCTCAGGGCACCAGGCTCGGGGCACCAGGCTCGGGGCACCAGGCTCGGGGCACCAGGCTTAGTGGGCTCCTTGGCAACCCTGACACTCTGCCCCTTTGGGGTACTTGGGAGCCCAGTGGGTGAGCGGGGTCCTGGGGACAAGCTCACCCCACCTCACGGCTTTCCTAGCACAGTTCCCTGCCCCTCTGCTGCTGAAGAAAAGCCAAATTTGCACTAAAAAAGCTGCTTACATGGATTGCCGTGGTGAAGTCAGCGGGCTTTATTACACGGAGGGACCCTGGTGTCTGCGACCTTGACCGGACGGTCCACAACTGCTGGGTGCGGGGGTGATCTCGGGACAAAAGGGGCAGCATCTTTTAGGGGACGCAAGGCTCTCCTGCCTCAGGATTTCCCTAAAGGCAGAGAGGTGGAGAAGGCATCCGAAAAACGCAGGCTCTGTAAACATTTCCATTTGAAAAGCAGAACGCGCTTACCACCCACACACCCCGAATCCAGCATCTCTATGCCAGGTACAGGTGACGATGTAAAACCGCACAGCGCCCAGGCCAGGGCCGCCCGGTCGGCACCCAGACCCTGCTGTGAGAGGCAAGTGACCGCGGCAGGAAGCTGAGCCCAGGGCGGGACGCTGCCCAGCAGTGCTCCTGACCCCAGGGGAGCGCCCGTTATACCACAGCACGGTTCCGTCCTGCTCCGGGACACGGACGTGAAAGGAAGGTGGAACGGTGGCTGCAGGCCCAGCCCTGCCCCGAGCCTCCAGGCTTCTGCTTTGCTGCCCTGCTGCCTGCAGGGAGACGCTGCAGATGCGTGGACTGGCGAGTGATTGCGTTTTGCGGCCCTGGGGCGGGAACTCCGGCCTTCACACTGAGCTACATCTCCAGCCCCTCCGCTTTTTTAAAATTTTGAGACTAAGCCACTGAATTGTTCAGGCTGGACTCGAGTTTGCGATCCTTCCACCGGGGCCTCTCCGAGTGCTGGGATCACAGGTGCGCACTGCTGCACCTGGCTGGTGGTGTGGACTTTTTAGTTGTGTAGACTTTATACTTCTCAGAAATGTTCACAACCCTAATTCTCAGGGCGATGGGTGCCAGAGGAGTGTGAGTGTGTGTGTGTGAGTGGGTGTGTGAGTGTGTGTGTGCACGTGCAGTGCTGGGAACCGAACCCCAGGCCCTGCACATGGCGGGCCAAGTGCGCTACCACTGAGCGACACCCCAGCCGCCAATAAATGCTTGTTGGGTTGAACTGAATAGTCAAGAAGGAACGACCAAGAATTCTGTGGGAGACAAAATCACTTGACAGCATTAGAGTCAGAACTAACTCGCTATTGGTTCCCTTGGAGTCGGCCCTGCCAGACTCATAGAGCACCACCTAGACCACAGCGGGGGCCTGGCTGCATCCTCCCTGCGGCATCCACAAACACTCTGCATTCACTGCGGCCCCGCCGGCCTGAACCGGAGGACCAGGGAGTGACTGCACAGCAGAATGAAGCAGCGAGGTCCTGCAACCTCAGGAAGTTGGCTGTCTTAACCGAGAGTCCCAGCCGTTCACCTCCCAGGCGGAAGGTCACCTGGCTGCACTGAGTCAGCGAAACAACTGGAGAGGAAAGAGGAACTCACCTCTAATCCCAGCACTCTGGGAGGCTGAGGCAGGAGGATCGCAAGTTTGAAGCCAGCCTGGTGAACCTAGTGATTTAGCAAGTTCCTATCCCAGAATGTAGCTCAGTGGGGTGGTAGCTCAGTGGGAGTTGGGAGCCCGTCTGTGGCTGCCCTATCCCAGGATGGTCAGCCCTCCATGGGGACACTGCCAAGCCTCTCTGGTAGCAAACAGCCACGCCTTCCTAGAGTGGATGCTCGGCTACCCCAAGAGAAGAAAACCAACTGAGGAAGCCACAGCTCCCGCCTGTGTATTGCAACAGTGAAAAGCGGGGAGGACCCGGAGATGACACAGATGCCGTAAGGCACCACAGTTTCTAAGTAAGTTTCCTGTGCTTATGAGCTGGAGCAAAATCTTGAAAAACTTTCCTGCCTCAACTCATGGAACTAAATAAAAAACCAAAACCCAGGTACAGCCGTGACAGGCTAGATTTCCTTCTTGTGTCCTCGGGCGTCCTCTGCTGGCGAGAGCCTGAATTACAGCGCTAATAACCACAGAGGGGACCCGATTTTCCAGAGCTGCAGAGCGGGGGCACTATCAAGAAGCCGAATGGTCTCTCCCGCTGGCACTCCGCCCAGTGAGAGTTGTAAAGCAGAGGTGCTGCAAACCGGATCAAAAGCAGCGTTTGGGTTCCACAGCCACACTGCCTGATGTCCAGTTGGCTTTACCCATGGTTCTTAGGACCCCAGGTCTTGGTCCCCCCTGGCCGCCCGGCTGGCCCTCGCCTCATCTCGTCCTGTTTCACCTGAGTCAGGTGTCTGCTGGGCCCAGCGCTGGTGATCTCACCCCAAGCCCCTATGCCAGGAGGGAGCGTGTCCCAGGAAATTCCAGGTCAGCCCCTGTGTCCTTGGGCCAGTCAGCCCTGTCCGCCCTGGCTCAGCTGGGGCTGGGGCCAGGGCCTTCCCCAGCAGCGTCCGGCTGGCTCCCCCTTGCCTTGGGCATCGGGGTTAAAGTTGAAATGCGTAAAAGGAAAGGCTGGACCTGCTCCTCCCGCAGATCTTCGGGAATGAGGGTGCAGAGAAACTGCCGACTCAGCACGGGGGGACAGGCACGAAGGTGCCCAGGGGAAGGCTCCTGAGCCCCAGCCGCACTGGCAGCCTCTCCCTGTGCCCCCATCTGCCCTGGGGACCTCCTCTCTGCGTTGTCTGGGAGCTGCCACCTTGCCTGCGAGCCAGGGGTACACCAGCCGGCTCTTTGGCCCCAACTTTTCCTCGTACCCGGAGCAGCCGCAGCGCTGTGCCAGCCGCTTGGCCCTGCCTGGACGGTGCAGCCCGTCTCTCCTGCGTCCTTGGCAGGGAGCTGGCAGCCGCAGTGCTCTGCTGTCCCAGGCTGAGCGAGGGGGCTCCTGGTGTCAGGAGCCCAAGCAGAGGCCCCAAACGATGACATCACGCATCAGGAGGGTCACTGCCTGACTCCCCCTGCCCACTGAGGGGAGGGTCACTGCCACTCCTCTTCCTCTTCCTCCTCCTCCCGGCGCAGTACAGGCTCTGAGGGCAGCCGGCAAGGTGGAGACGCTCAACCCAAAGCCCCGGAAGGGGAAAAGCAGCCACCAGCCTGGAGGCTCTGGCCGTGGAAGTTTAGGGTCCTCAACTGACTCCCGAGTGTGCACGGTGGAACACCACTTTCCATCTTGCCGGAGACAGGGCTTCGGCCCAGAGTGAGTCCCCGGGGATGGGCCGAGCAGTGATTTCATGCCCAGGCATGAATCGAGACCTGCACTGGAGGCTGCCATCCTGCGCCTGAGTTGCTTCGGGACCTCTGGGCCTGCCCTCCCTGTCCCCAGGTCCTTGGCTCCAGCCACCTAAGCCCAGAGCATCACCCTGGAGGGTCAGCAGCGTCCGAACCCCAGCCACATTTCCCGGCCTGTGTCTGTCTGCAGGGGAAGCTGGACCCCCACATCCAAGTTCAGGTTTCCAAGAACCCATTGCATGAGATCCGGGGGGGAAAAGCTTTTTCCCAGCTCTTTGGAGCCTCTGTTTGTCTCCGTAGGGTGCCCCAGGAATGCCAAGTGGCAGCATTCAAGAACGGGGTCCCAGGGGGTCCTTGGGCCTCACCTCCAGGCCGCCCGAGTCAGGAGCCCCTTCCTTACCCCAAGCAGTAAGGCAGCCTTGTCATCCACGCTGGAGTCCAGGGCTCGGGGCAGGAGATGGGGAGCCGGAGCCGGGCTGCAGCTCTGCTCCAAAGCCTTCCTGTCATGTCTGAGGGTCCGTCCGGAGTTTCCCAGAAGCACGCTGGCCCTCGGTGGGCATTCGGTCCCAAAGCGCCTGTGGAAACGGTCCATCCGAGGATGTGCAAGCTCTGTGTCCAAGTTTGTCCTTCTTCTCTCTGGGGAGGGCTGCTTCCTGCCCCAGCCCTCAACTCCAGAGAAGTATTGTCCTCAAGAAAAGGTGGTCTAAATAAAGCCAGGGACTCACTCCCTGCACCAATCAGCAGCGCCGCTGCCGGTCTGGTCTGGGCAAGGGCTGCGCAGCCGCCGGGAGGTGGCCGTCGGGACGCGGCGCGGGCAGAGCAGTGGTGCAGGGTCTCCGCATCGCCGCGGCTGCAGCCCCGCCGCCCTCAGCACTGCTGACTTGGCCCGGGCGGCAGCGGGCGGGGAGGGAGGGCGGGAGGGGGAGGCCTGCAGCAGCCGGGCTCCAACGGCCCTGCGCAAGGAGAGCCAGCCGGCAGCCAGGGCAGAGACAGGGCCCTGAGTCAGCGCTGGTGCATTGGGGGGTGTCACCGGGAGCCTGGGCGCCAGACCCATGGCTACCTTGGGCCATGCCGGGCACCCTTCCGCACACCCTTTGTGCAACCCCCGCTTAATTCAGAGCCAGCACCAGCCCCCTCACGCACCCAGCCCTGAGGTCCCTGAGGCACGGAAGGACGGGAGATTCATTTCCCAGCCTGGCACAAAACCCCCAGATGCAACAAGGGTGCCAGGCCACGGGACCTGAGGTGATGGGGTGCACGGCGGTGGTCACCCCTTGCATTTCCTGCCTGAGAAAGCCTGCAGAACGCTGGCCCTCGTGTCCTGGGTCTCCTCCCAGAGTGACTTCCTGCACTGCCATCTGAGAGGCGAAGGTGGACAGGGCTGCAGGGGCTGAGTGCCCTCCCAGCCCTGCCCATTCCTGCCAGGGTCGTGTCACCTTGGCTGCTGTGCATCCTGTCCCTGCCCCGTGACGTGGTCACCTTGCCCAGACGGGGCCGGCCTGAGGGCAGGAGCCTCTTGCAGTGGAAGGCAGGCTGCCGTCCCTGCAGTGTCAGGCTGCCGGGCTCCGGGGCACAGCTGTGGTGCTCGTGTCGCACCTGACCTCCCTGCGGGTGGCCAGAGGTTGGTGGACAGGGCATTTGCTTTGCTGCTGGCCACAGCAGGCCTTCCCTTCGCTAGCTCCAGATGGGAAAATGCTCTTCTGCCACCCAGGCTGCAGGGCACACAGTAGAACGGTGTCTCCTGCACGCTGGCACAGTCTCCGCTCCCCATGTGAGGTCACGGACACTTCCAGCCACGGATAGGGGAGACTGCAAGCTCAGGGCCGCGCGGCCCACGGAAGCAGCTTCCGGGGCTGGGGGAGGGGACCAGGGTGCCCTGGTGTTGGGCCTGAGGACATACAAGTGAGGTCCCATCTTACTGTGTCCCATGATGCTGACCTCAAATGACCCTGCTGTGGGGGGACCATGATGACGCCTTTGGGAGCGCTGAGCTCAAAATCAATTGCACCCAAGGATGTTCACGTGGGAAATTAAAGTTATGCAGATGAACGGGGAGAAGTCAAAGACGGTTTTCAATATATAGGAAATGTAGTGGAGAATGGAACCTGAGAAGCAGAGGGGGGAGGGGAACGCCTAATTCCGGGGGGAGGGTTTAGTGTGCAGTCTAAGACCTCCTAAAACATTTGTCTCCCGAATGCCTGCGGCGTGGAGACAAGCGCCTCGTACGCAAAGCAGCTTCAGTGCCTGCAGCCCCTGTTGAGCGTGGCTGGTTTCCTAAAGACCTGTGTTCTGTCGACACAGAGAACCAGGACAAGCGGGGCACCCCTGAAGTCTCATTCCTCCGCCAGCTCAGCTGTGATGCCAGCTGCCGTCTCAGAGGCTTGCGTTTGTATCTGAGAGGGTTGCTACACGTCTTTGGAGCAGATGTACCGAGAGACCCAGAATATTTTGGTCAAAAGATGCCCCACCGACACATACACACTTTGGGAGGGAACGCGGGAGCTCAGTGCTTCAGAGCCTGGGCTGCCTGGGCGGATGTCACCCTTGGCATCTCAGAGAATCACCTCCATGCAGACCTGGACCTCACACTGGGTGCCTAGGGGTGCAGTGCCCAGCAGCCGGCACCCACAGAGGCAGCTGCTTTAGGGAAGCTCTTGGGTTGGGGGGACAGGAGGAGCCCCTGCACCCCGCACACCCTGGCTCAGCCCTTGCTACTAGGCAGGGGGTTCATCCTGCTCTTAAATGCTGCAGCCTTGGCCCCTGCGGCCACAAATCATCCAGTTTCAAATTTCCCTCTAAATCTCATCTGAGTAAATCCAAGGAGAGAGCAAGAGCGTGTGAGGGAGACAGAGGGAGAGACCCTCAGTGAAGGCAGCCTCTGTGTCCCCATGGTTCAAGCCCGGCGGAGAGAGCTCAGATCCGCCTTCTCCAGCCCAATTCCAGATGGCTTAAAGAGCCAGGCAGCCAGACTCGCGCCAGACACGCACGGTGGCGGCAGGCTGACACGCATCGCGCTGGGACTCATCAGTAAGTCTGCGGGGTCCAGTGCCCCTGCGTGTGGAAGAGAGAAAGTCCCCAAAGCGTCCCGGGGTGCTGGGGATTTGCGTGGGGCTGAGCGCTCCCCAGTCCGGGTACCCGGCAAGCCAGCTGACCCGAAAGCCAAGCCGGCATCCCCTTCCTCCTCCTCCTCCTCCCCGTCCTCCTCCTCCTGTCTCCTCCCAGTGCTGCTGCCGGCTGCGGCTCTGTCTGCAGTCACTTGAAGGAGAAAGATTTCGCAGTATGGCACTCTTAAAGCCGCAGCGCCCAAATTCTCCTTCAAAGCCCAGCGTCCCCGGCATCAGCCAACTTACGGGGTCTTCGGAAAGGGTGGGTGGGCGAGGAGCCTGGGTCTGGGGCGGCTTGGGCAGCACGGCCGGCGGGGGACAGCCCTGAGGCTCGCAAGGGTAAACTGCACGGCGAGCGCCTCTGCAGCGAGACCTGGCTGCGGGGACTGCAGCGGGACTGCAATGGAGTGGATTTTTTTAAAAATCATAAAACCCCACCATGATTCCCTCCACAAACTTCTATTCTTTGCAGCTTAATTAAAACACCAGGTGCAAACATGAAACCAACAGGAGAAAGCACCTCCCTCCTATTTTGTTTTCTCAAAAAGAGTTGAAGCAGCATTTTAAAATTATTTTTAAAGGTTCTCCCTCCCGTGAGCGGCTGACTCAGCTTTCTCGCCAGGCGCTGTCGAAAGCCATGCGGGAAAGAACCGGGCTGGACGGAGTTCACGGGGTCGGAGTTTTTGCAAAGTGCAGGAGGAGGAGGCCCCAGCTCCTCAGCGAGGAGCGCTCCCTTAAACCCAGAGGAAAGGGGACCCGTCCGCCTCTGCCTTGTGGCGCGGAAAGGAGCCCATCCGGCACCCAGAAACCAGCACGCCCGCCGGGGAAGTTACCTCTCTGCAGCTCCCGGCCGCCGCCACTGCCTGCCCGGATGCTGGCAGCTCACACGCTGTGCCGGGGAGGCAGGACCCAAAATCAGAAGTGTCAGCTGGGTCCCCGCGCGGAAAGGGTGCCAGGAGCCGGCGCTGCAGGCGGCGGCGGGCTGGTCCTCCCCTCCCCCAGTTTAATTTAAATCCTGACTTTGCAGGGTGCCCACCCCTGTGACACGTCTCCAGAGAGCCGCCTCCCTCCCCTCCCTGCACCCCCACTCCCCACATTTGCTCACCTGAAGGTGCTTTAGTTGCAGAGAGAGAGAGAGAGAGAGAGAGACCGCAGAATCCTACATTTGGGGGAGGGGTGGGAATTGCAGAAGTTTGGGAATTGCATCTTGGTACACGGGAGAAGGAAGGCAGGGGCAGACCTGCTTGGCTTCAGACAACTGGGCACTGTTGCTTCTTCTGCAAGGACAGAGGTTGGCGGGCGGGGGGAATAGGAAAATTCTCCCCGCGCACTGGCAAATCCTCAGCACTGGGAAACCTCTGTGTTTTGGGTTCTCCCGAGGACACCCGCTTCCTCAGTGCAGGTGTGTGGAAGGCGCAAGGCCACGCGTGGCCGTGCCATGGTGACCGGTCTGTGCTCCCCCGAGTTCCCGCTCTGCTTCTGGGCGAGCCAGGGTCACCTGAGATGAGACGGACTGCGTGGGGAAAGTTCCAGGAGGGAGAGGCCCGGGGAACGCAGCTGTGCGTGAAGTGGCACATCCTGGCAGAAGCCCGGGGACAGGGACGGTGCAGCGCAGAGCTCAGCGGGGGAGGGGAGGCAGGTGTTCCTGGGTTCTGAGTTTATCACGACCTCGGAGTCTGAGAAAGGACCATGAAGGAGAAAGAGTGTTTGCGTGTGTGTGTGTGTGTGTGTGTGTGTGTGTGTGTGTGTGGTGTGCGTGCGCACACGCGTGCCCATCTCAGGTAGCGGGGCTGAAGTTGCCCTTCTAGATAAATTGTTCAAAAAGACCAATTGCACCAATTACGCATGCGTCCTATTACTGAAGGCAAACCAGGAGAGGACTCGACGAGGCAGCCTGGGACACAGCCACGCCTGCTGCAGTGCACCACGGCCGTGCGGGCACCCTTGGCACAGGCGGTACTGGCGGCCCTCGCCCTCCTCTCTCTCCTGTGGCTTTGGCCCAGCAGCGGCTTTGTGCTATGCCGGAGCACAGAGCGAGGTCCGGCCACCATGATGCACCCTCCCCGGCTGCGGTGGTTTAGGAAGGCTGAAGATTCCAGAGGGGTCAGTGTGGAGGGAGCCCAAGTTGCTCGCCCCACAGACGGGAAAATGGAGCCCGAGGGACAGTAGGACCTCATGAGAGGTTGCCTGGCCCATAGGAGGCAGCCCTGCAATTAGGATTTGGAGCTTCCCAGCTGGGCCTGGTGGCCCATGCCTGTGATCCCAGCACTCGGGAGGCTGAGGCAGGAGGATTGCCTGAGATTGAGGCCAACCTGGGCTACATAGTGAGACCCTGTCTCAAAAAAAAAAAAAAGAATTTGTGGCTTCAGGTTCTCACTGTCCCTGTTGTCAGACCCTCTGGGGGAGCGAACTGCTTCTGCTACTTCTTCATGTGACCTTGACGGTCTCCTCTCTGCTCTGCCACTGTCCCCCCACCCGGAGCCCCAGTGACATCCAGACTTAAGCCAAGGAACCCTGACTCTTTGAAATCAGGAAAAACACTAAGTAGTTGTCTTGTAGCCAGAGGCAAGACCAGACTCAGGGTCATCGAGGAGACATTGCTGAAGATCCCTCTGACTTTGAGACCTGGATTCCTTTGGGGTGTCCTAACAAATGACCACAAAGGCAGTGGCTGGACATGATGACAAAGCATCCTCTCACTTCCTGAGGCCAAGAGGTTCCCAGGCTGGGGGGATTCGCAAGCCGGTGTTACCAGCCACGCAGACGCTCCCTGCTCTCCTGTCCCTGCCTCCTCGTGTGTCCTCCGCCCTCTCTTCTTTATTATAAAGACACATTGGATCGGGGCCACCCTAATCCAGGGATCTCATCTTCCAACCCTTAATTTTTTCCACTGAGAGCTTTAATTTAATTGTATCTACAAAGGACTCTTCCCCAGTAAGGTCCTGTTCACAGATTCCAAATGCACATCTTTTGGGGGACGGCCATAATCCGACCCCCTATGTCTTCCAGTGGAAATGTTCATTAGGGAACCATGGGAACGAAGTGAGGCGGCCTGATTCTATCTCACGGTTTGGAGGTGCCGTAACTTGGGCCCCTTCGCTTACGAGAGGTTCACAGCTGTGGGGTTCCTGGTCTCTTTCTGGAGGTTTCTGTATCATTAAATCTTTACTCCACCCTAGAAAGCAGAGCCCTTATCATCACCCTACGTTTTATAGTTAAGAACTAAAGTGCAGAGAGGTCTGGATAACATCGATCGTGAGGGCCAGAATTTGTGCTTTTTAAACTTTTTTTTTGAGACACAGTCTTGTTTTGTAGTGCAAGTTGACCTTGAACTCATGGCGATTCTCCCGCCTCAGCCTCCTGAGTGCTGGGATTACAGGTGTGCGTCACCAGGCCCAGCCTGAATTTGTGCTCTTAGCCTCACTTTTGCTTAATCATGCTGGGGTTGCTGATTCTTTTGTCTCGTCTTGATGTCATTGATTTTCGGACCAACGCACACCTCTGGTCTCTGTGTCTTTTCTGGTACTTTTTGGGCTCCAAGGGCCGTGCGCTCTGGGCTGACCTCCCACTGGGCTCCCCTTGCCATCCTCGCCAGGGGCGCCTCTGCTGTCACCACCAGCCCGAGGGAGGGGTTATCCGTGTGGCTCAGAGCCCGAAGCATGGCAAGCCCAGAGAGGGACAGGAATAAAGCATTTGCTTCTAAATCAAAAAGAAAGAGAAACTTCAGGACAACAGTGATCCTTCAGACACTATCACTTTTTGGGGTCCTTCCATCTGACACCCCCATTTCCCATGCTATGCTTGGACAAACCTGGAGACCCTTCCCGCTCTCCCAGGGCAAGTTCTAGCATGTGAGGAATTTCTTCTTGGTCCTGTAATCCTTGGAGCTTTGGCATGCAAATGACCCTGTCAGCTTAGACTTTGATAAAAAATAACGTGTGCAGGTTTCCTACCCCCAGCAAGCAGTCGGCACCCTGGAGGCAGCAGACCCCGCCGCTCCTTATATGGGGCTGACATCTAATAATCCCACTCTCTCTTTTATTTTCAGTAACAGCAGGAGAAAACCAGGTTAAACCTAGGAAAGCGCCCTGTCTGGAAGTCATACTACAATATTAGCTCTCGAGTCGACCCCAGAGGCTTCCCCTCTTTAGGGTGAGGTGGAACCCCGGAAAGGCTTCGGGCCAGGCCTCACTAAGCCTTGCCAGAGTCCCTGGCTCAGAAATCCTCAGAGGTCCCTTGGCCTTTCGATAGCAACATCTGGATGGGATGGGAGACAGCGGATGCGGTACAGCGGCCTCTCTTTCCGGATGAGTAATGCCTTCTCCGGTGACCTCAGCGGGCCTGGCCTTCCCTCTGCCAACTCAGAACCACAGAGGCCAGGGAGGGCAGCGAGGGGGCTGCGAGAGGGCAGCGCCGGACGTCGGGAGGAGACCAAGGCCTTCCCCGCCTGAATCACAGCGCAAACACATGATGTGGCGTTTGTTTCGCTCAGAGCAATGCATGCGGGGGCGCAGGGCCGCGGAGGCCGAGCGCTTCCTGTGAGTCGCAGAGCCTTTCCCCCGCAAACGGGCAAGACGTTTCCTCTGCCCGCGTCCGCGTCCTCCGCTATGGACGCCTCTGTGCACCCTGCGTTTCTCACCGGTTCATTGCACGCGTGTTGATCGAGCACAGGCCACACACACAGCGGAGGAGAGACGCAAATCCCACGCACGCCGGGCACACTCTTCGCGGCTCTAGGCCCCCCGAACCCGCCCCACGGTTGTTACTGTATCTGGCTGAGGCCCTGCGGGTCGCCGGGAGTCCGGGGCACTTCCCAGGGCGGCCGTGTTTCAGGGGGGATGAAGCCCTTCGACGTGCAGGGGACAAGGAGCGCGCCCTCTGGCGGGAGGCGTCCTCCCTGCTGGAGGCGCTCTGCGCCCTGCAGCCGGACCTGTGCCCTCACCCGCGCTTAGACTTCGCTTCTGCCCAGGAGCGGAGGCCGCACGACAGCCCGGTCACACCTGTGCGGTGGCCGCTGCGATGCCCGAGTGGCCCTCCATGTCCGTCTGCGGCTCTGCGCACCCCTTCCGCTCTGTCCCGCATCTTGGGATGAAACACAGAGGACTCACCACAGCCGTGAGGCTGCAAGGTCTGACTGACGCCCGCTGCCCGCTGTCCACCACGGCCCTGTCTTGGTCACCTCATCTCCTACGCACCTCCGCAGCGCTGCCTCCTTTGGGGTCTTTAAAATGCCTCTTGTCACCAGGCATGGTGGCACACGCCTCTAATCATATAACTCAGAAGGCTGAGGCAGGAGGATCACTGCAAGTTCAAGGCCAGCCCGAACTGCATAGGAAGAACTTGTCTGGGAAAAAACCCCAAGGTAACGGTTCCCACGGGGTGGCATTGGCCCTGCCTTGGTTCCCCATGTTTCTGTCTCCCTGGAGACGACAGCTCCGGCGGGCGCAGGCCTCTCGTGCCTGGGATAGTGCCTGGCATCCCGAGTGGGCAGCAGCGTCTTGTGAACACTGTGGGCTGCGAGAGTGGGTGGCTGTGACCTTCCCATGGCCTTCGATTTCCACACTAGGCTTTGTCACTGCCCGGCTGCGCTCACGGAGTGCTACACCCTGCTGGCCTATGCCCCGGACATCCATCCTCCCGGGCTTGGAGGCTGAGGCAGCGCTGTCCTGTCCCCAGGCCCGCTCCCTGGCTGCCGGTGGCAGTGACCCCTCGGTGCACCTGGGTCCTCATCTCCCCTTCAAGGACACCCACTGTATTGGATCAGGCCCACACTAATGATCCCGTTTAACTTAATTCACTCTGTAAAGCCCCAGTCTCCAAATACAGCCACAGGCTGAGGTGCTGGGGTTCAGGCTTCTGCGTGTGTATTTTGGGGTGAAGGGCACAACTCAGCCTGTAGCAGCACCCCGCACCCTCCGGCTCCCCTCTGACTTCTGGGCTGCGCTCCCAGCCCGTCAGGGACCAGGGCATCAGCATTGCTCACGTGCCACTCACGAGAGGGCTCTGCTGGGTCCCGTTTCCCCGGCCCGGCTCAGCCCACTGCGCTGCAGTTGCCTATGAAACCCTCATCCCCCGCAGGCCCCTGACTCCCTTCGTGAAACAAGAGGGACCTGCTGGCGCAGGTCACGTGACTTCCCAGGACACGGAGATCAAAGGAGGGTGCTCTCTGGAGTGACCTGGGCCCTAGCTCAGGCTGTGAGCTCTGAACTGTGTGCACCCACAGATTACCAGGGCTCCTTGAAAATGACTGGGGGCTGGGGGTGGAGCACTGGCCTAGCAGGTGCATAAAGCACTGGGTTCCAGCCCCAGCACCAAGCCGGGGATATAGCTCAGTGGCACAAGTGCCTGCCTGGCAAGTGCAAGGTCCTGAGTTCAGTTCCCGGTACAAAAAAAAAAAAAAGTTGATATCACCATCCCTAGCATGAAAATATGGACAAACAGACAGACAGGTAGGTGGATAGACAAGCATGCTTGTCGCAGTCTGTGGGGCAATCTATAGACTGAGAACCATGAAAGAGATGGAGATATGATAAAGAGCCAAAGAAAGCTAAATACATGGGAAACGGAGCTGAGTGTGGTGGCACATGTCTGTAACCCCAGCACTTAGGAGGCTGAGGCAGGAGGATCACAAGTTCAAAGCCAGCCTGGACTTGAGACCCTGTCTCAAAAAACCCACAACAACACAAAACAAAAGCAAAAAAAACATGGGAATTTGGGCCCATTTCATATTGGTGAGAGAAGAAAAACTGTTCAGTTAGGGCTGGCAGAGTTAGAAAATAAAACTGCAGCACTCCCAGATAAACAATGAATTAATCCAAGCATGTCCCATGCAATACTTGGGATAGGTTTTGATTTTTTTGTTTGTTTGTTTTTGTTTTCTTCTGGTACTGGGAATCGAACTCACAATGTCACGCTTGCCAGGAAGGTGCTGTGCCGCTAAGCTAAATCCCCAGACCCTAGATTTTGATTTTTAAAATCATGGTTTTTTTGCTGGGTGTGGTGGTGCAACGCTATAATCCCAGCACTTTGGAGGCTGAGGCAGGAGGATCACTATGAGTTTGAGGCCAGCCGTGTCTACATAGTGAGTTCAAGGCCAGTCTGCACTAAACAGTGAGACCCTGTTTCAAAACAAATTTAAAGTAAAATAATGTTTTTATCTGAAATTCCAGTGTAACTGGCATCTTGTATTTTATCTAACCACCGCAGGTTGGCTATATGCTTGGTTTAAGAAGCCCAGAGAGCATAGAATGCATTCTAGAGATTTTCTTTTTTTTCCTCTTTTTTTTTTTTTTGGTGGCACTGGGAATCAAACTCAGGGCCTTGCACTTGCCAGGCAGGTGCTTTTGCTGCTGAGCTATATCCCCAGCCCGATTCTAGAGATTTTCATCTTAAACCAGTAAAGTGGGAGTTAGGACCAGTAAAGTGACCCGTTAGGACAGATGTCACCAGGATTGACTGTGGGAAGGACAGAGATGGAAACAGAGCTTTAGACAGAATGCAAGTTCGTTGCTCTTTCCCTTAGAAACATCCCAGCGGTCAGTGATCTCTGGTTGTCATGGTGATGCCTCAGCGACACCGGGGACTCTGGCTCCTCCTATTTCCTGTTGACCTCAGCCTGAGACTTTATTCTCTCAGGTACCTCATGGACTGCAAGAGTCACCAGCTCTCCAGCCATCACATCAACATCCCCAAGAAGCAAGAAGCAAGCACTACCTGCTAACTTCTGCCTATACGTCATCGCCGGAATTTAGTCACATGGCCACATCCAGCTGCCGGGTGATGTCACCAAATATATTCGAGAGTGTTACCAAGGATGAGTGGGAGGGGTGGACAAGCGGGAGGGGTGAACAGCCAGCCTTGCAGGATGCGATGGCCTCTGCCTTGTAGACTGGAAACCTGGCCTTTGTCGTGGAGGTCTGCTTTTTAAAAATACAGGCAATGTAGACATGTCTGCTATTTTATTTTATGGACCGCGCTCATGACAGCGCTCGGCCACCGAGGGCACTCTGTCTTACAACAGAAGAGTAATAGAGTAAAGGGGCAAACCGAATTTTTTATATCAAAAAGCTAATTAAAGGACTGTTTTAGCTGGGCGTGGTTTTTCTCTGGTACAAGGTCATGAGTTCCGTTCCCGGTACCAGAGAAAAACCAAAAAAAAAAAAGTTTGGGGGCTGGGGCTGGACCTCAGGGCCCAGAGCACGTTAAACCTGTGCTCTACCACTGAGCTACACCCGCTGCCCCTAAACTCTTAAAATACCTGGCAAAGGAGCCTGTGATAAACACCTGTAACCCCAGCACTCTGGGAGGCTGAGGCTGGAGGATCTTTATTGGAGCTCAGCCTGGACAACCTAGTGTCTCAGAAGAAGAGAATAAGGCTGGGGGTGCAGCTCAGTGCAGAGCCCCTGGGTTCAGTCTCTAGCACTGCAGAAAGAAGGGAGGAAACAGGAAGGAAGAAAGGGGGAGGGAGGGAGGGAGGAAGGGAGAACGGACTACTACGAGTTCAAGGCCAGCCTGGGCTTCACAGCAAAGCCCTATCTCGGAAAAAAAAAAACACCAAGAAAAAGAAAGAAACCCTGCTCACACAGTCTCCGGTCCTAGAACTATGTGCAAGGGGACAGACGTCCAGATGGGACTTGGGCTTTAAGGCAGGAAAAGGATTGGGCAAGTTGGCAGCAGGAAGGAAGGTGTCTTAGCGAGAGGGGTCGGTGTCTCGCCCCTGTCGCCCCGTGAGGAGGAGCAGGACGGGCCCAGCCACGGCGGAGAGAAGGCAGGGGAGGCGCAGGGCCGGGGCCACTCCCACGCGCCAGGGGCACAGCCGGAGGAGTCTGACTCGTCTCTTTGTCCCTGACCCTGCGCGAGGTGGGGACTCCGGGGACACGGTGCGCTTTGGGGAAGTCTCGTATCTTCCCGAGGGGACCACGCGGAGGCGGGTGAGCTCTGGAGGAGCTGGGGGTGGAGAGATAGCGACACCGGGGAGCGCGTATTCCGGGAACGGAAAGAACAGGGCGGTGAGCTCCTCCCGCTGAAGCGGCCTTCAAAGACCTTCCCAAGCGTCCCACAGATGCGTTTGAAAAACCTGCCCCGCTCGGCGAGCAGCCTCGCCGGGCCCTGAGTGTCCCCTGCCTGCGTCTCCATCCTGCCCTGCCCCAAGCCCAGAAGAGGCCTGGGAGAGGAGGGTGACCTGGTACCCTAAACCACTTGCAGCTGTCTCCATCGGGAGCAGGTGCCGGGCAGAGGCTGCACGTTTGGGGTTCCACCTCTCCTGGGGGGCTGGACATTTCAACCCTGGACTGGACGGGAAGCCCCGTGTGGTCAAGCGCCGCATCCAAGCACTGGGGCAGCCCCGTGCCCCCCAGCGGGAAAATGAAGCTGATTGTTTTGTAACCCGAGTCCCCGGCTCAGCAAAAGCTTTAGAAGTTCCCGCCAGGGCTCCGCTCCCACTGCAGTTAGCGCAATTAGCACATGTACTCATTAGAGCTCCGCGGCTAGCTCCTGTCTGAGCACCCGTTTTGGAGCCCGCTCGGGCGCAAGCTCATTAGGGTTCTATTTGTGACTTGATTCCTTCAAGCACCCAGGAGCCGTGTCCCGGAACTCACGACAGAGAGGGAGCCCCTCGGGGGCCTGGGTTGCGGATGCTTTGTGCTAGGGACTGCAAGAGCCTCGCGGTGGCGTTCCCCAGGGTGAACAGCGCGCAGAGACTGCTGTTCCATCCACCTTTCACACTGGATCCGGGACCTAAACACACTCCGCGGCCTCCTCTGCTCACCCAGAGTCAGCTTTCACCGTGAAATTGCAGCCCCCGCCTCCACTCTCAAAGAGGTGCAGGTATTTGGGGCACGGACTTGGCTGCTGTCCCACCTCTGATAGGGGCCAGCCACGGCTACAAAAGCTCCCTGTGCCTAACCCAACCTGGACAAATGCAGAAGCCAGGCCTGCTGGCACAGTCCTGTAATCCCAACACTTGGGAGGCTGAGGCAGGAGGATCACTGTGAGTTCAAGGTCAGCCTGAACTACAGGTGGAGACTCTGTCTCAAGAAACCAAACCAAACCAAACCAAGGAAAGAGAGAAAGAAGGAAAGAAAGAGATAGAGAGAAAGCAAGCCAGACAAATGCAGGAGGACCGTGTGGTGGTTGGGCTCCTCACCCTGGGGCATAAGACAGCCGGGGTCCCCCGCGATTAAAGGAACCCAGGGTCTCTCACTTCTCCCTTGCAGGATGCTGCCGCTAATGTGTATTTTTTAAACGCAATCTTGAATGTTGGTAAAATGTGCCCAAACCATTGATCAGTTTGAGGGTTTTTAAGCATCTAATGAAGAGGCGCAACGGGGTCACAGTGTCGGGTGATTGTCACTGCCATTCATCTCCAGGACTTTGCCACCTCCTCAAAAAGCAACCCCAGGGCTGGGGATTTAGCTCAGCGGCACAGCGCCTGCCTGGCAAGTGCAAGGTCGTGAGTTCAAGTCCAGGTACCAGGAAAAAAACAAACAAACAAACAAACAAAAAGCAACTCCGTGCCTGGCCCACGTGAAAGTCCGCTCCACTCTGCCCAGCCCCTGCACTTGGCTCCGTCTAACCATGTTGGCTTCTTCTCAGCTCCTTCCACCACAGGGCCTTTGCACTTGCTGCCCCTTCCTGCAGAGCTCCCCTGGTGGCTTTTGCATAACCAACCAGCCCCTCCCTCTAGTGTCATCAGGCGTCACCATCCAGAGAGGCCCTGGCTGGACACTCTTCTGCAGCCCTTGGTTTTATTTCTCGAGGCACGCTGCTAATCACTCACTCACTGTTTACAGTCGGTCTCCCCCACATGCATGCCCAGCTGCAGTGGGACACGGGGTCCTGAGAGCAGGGCCCTGTCTGCAGCTGGCCCCTGACCCCAGCACGGCTGTGCTACTGGGCAGATGCACGGCCACCTTACCTGTGTGTCCAGGACCGAAGCAGCTCGAGGGCCCCGATGTGTGTGTGGTTGTCCCCTGCTGTGACCCTGCAGCCACTCGGAGCGGCGGCTCAGCAGAGTCTCCCCGAGCCCTGGCCCCGGCCCAGGCCACTGCAGTGTCAGACAGCGACGGGAGGCTGCCACGTCTCGTGAGGTCCTGCTGGCCACTGTCACAGCTCTCCCGAGGGCGTCCCGCCCTTCCGGGCCCCAGGCTCGCCCACCGTGCGGCTGTGTCCAGCCCGCACCTCCACTTTGCTCTAGGACCGACGCAGCGCTCGCTGCAGTGCCGGCTGGGGCAGCTGCCAGCACTTTTATCTTTGCTCTTCCTCTGCCAGCCAGGAGCTTGTGCCCGCGTCTGCCTAGGAGAGCTTACGGCCAGGAGTGATGACCTTGAGGACAGGGGCCGCTCACTGCGGTGCCCAAGAGCCCCTGGCCTGGCTGCCACCTGGGCCAGCTGCTGCCCGGCTGCCCTTTTCTTTTTCCTGCGTCCCCTCCCCAGGGAAGCCACCAAGTACAACCCGGGGCTCTTCCCCGGTATCCGACTGTTGGCAGCAGCCCTGGCAACTTGTCCCTTCACCCAAGGGTGCCACTCATACCTTCCAACGGAGTCACGCGGGCGAAGGGGACCCCAGCCCCTGGGCCTGGTGACTCTGGGTCCCCAGCTTGTGCTTTGTTCCCTGGGAAGTGCTTTTTAAGGGCCTTTTATTTGTCCCCCCGGTCTGCCTTGCTGGACGGGTGGGCACTTGGGTCACATCACGCTCCCAGTGTATCAGATGACAGTTCAGCAGCGCATGGGGACAACTGGGTGTCCACACACAACAGGAGGAAGCCGGCCTCCCTACCTCGCGGCATAGACAAAAAGCCGCTAACTGTGGGCCTGGGGTGGACCCTGGCCTGACAGGCACAGGCCCAAGGCTTCATCTCCAGCATCACAAAAACAAACAAAGCGGAATGTAAGAGCCCGACTACGGAAGTCTGAGAAGAAAACGCAAGCATAAATCATGACATTGGGTCAGGCAAAGCCTCCTTTGTTACGACGCCAAGTGTACCAGCAGCCAAAGAACAGATAAGCTGGGCACCATGAGGATTAAAAGCTCTGACACCCCCAGGGACACCGTCCAGACAGTGAAGAGACAGCCCGCCAAGTGGGAGAAAATTCATATAGGTGGTGAGGAGCTCGCGTTTAGCATACATAAAGAACTAACAACTCAGTAAAAAATACACAACCCAACTACAAAACGGGCAAAGATCAGACCAGATCTTTCTCCAACGAAAACGTACAAATGGTGAATAAGCATGCGGGAAGAGGCCCAGCCTCGTCAGCCTTCAGGGAAATGCAGATCAGAACGGCAACTGGACCCCCTTCGGGTACAGCAGGGTGGCGATAATCAGAAAGTCAGACAGTAACAAGTGCTGGTGAGGATATAGGGAAATCAGAACCCCTGTGCTCTGCTGCTGCGAACAGAGGGGTTCAGCCACTCTGGAAAACACGGTGACAGCTGCGGGAAGGTTAACCTAGACCTGCTGGTCCACTCCGAGTATTTATATCCAAGGAAAATGAAAACACATGTCCACACAACAGCTTGCTTGTGGGTGTTCATAATGCACCATTCTTTTTTTTTTTTTTTTTTTTTTT